AAGGCATCTCTGATAGTGTGGTTATATCATAGCCTACTAGGATGTGGCTGTCAATACCAATGATGATGAAAACAACAAGTGGCATTTATTAAGGTCCTGCTGTATGTCAGGCACTGTGCTAAAGTCCTGTCAGTGGATTTCTCCTCTTCTACCCAGATAGATAGCTCCCCATTAATCTTAGGGGACTGTGGTCATATGGAGACAAATGTTCTTTGGACTAGCTAGGCTATACATAGAAGCTCTTGCAAGCCTAAGTCTGGGAAGTGACTGTAGGAATCAGTCCTAAAATCATTCTGTATAAATCTTACCTGGTAAATATCCAGATGATGGCAGAGAGCCTAAGGGAAATTAGGTCAAGACACTGCCCTGGCTCTTATGTTTAAGTTACAGGAATGGTCTTGTTATTGTTTTCATTATTGAAAACACATTCCCGGGGAGTCCCATGGTGGCAGCAGCTGAGTGTAGCCAGGATTGCAAAACACCAGTCCTGAATTATATTCCAAGCCAAGGTTATTGTTTCTAGCCATGAGCCCCCTCTGAGGAGATGCTAGGAGAAAGACTACACTCCTACTTCACATGGAAGGCACATCCACGTGCCAGAGATAGCCAGGGGAATGAGTTTGTCCAAAGGCCGAAGAATTGGAGGTGTAGAAATTAGGACATGACAGAAGAGGAAGGGAAGTAAGGATGGAGGGAGATCTGGATATTTGCTCCATTTTGATGGTATTTCCCTGGCCTCTTGTTAGGTTCTAAAGGAAAAAAAGTACTGAAGGGAGGGGAGTGAGTTACCACAAAAAGCAAAGATAGAACGGAGCTGATAGGAAAGTAAAACTGCCCTGGGCAGCAGCTCAGGAATGCCACTTCGGCTGTTTAAATGCTAGGGCTGGCTGTTCAAAATGATTGTTATCTGGAGGCTTAAATTCTGCTGATTCAATTGCTCTTATTTGGATTTTTGAATTATTCTTGACAAGATAACAAGTCTCTTTCAAAACATTAAATTGGATGAAAATCTCTGCTGGAGGTCTCTGGCTCAGTTTAATTTTTCATAGCTTTCCTGTCAAAAGATCTAATGAGAAATCCACATGAAAGGGTTTAATTGGGATTTCTGTAATTCCCCAAGCTAGAGTCCTTTGTAATGGGGCAAGCATAAAGCTTAGCATTTGGGTTATACTCATTGGGTCGAGCATGGCAAACCTTACTCCTGACCTTCAGACCACCTGCAACTTCACAGTCTATTAAATGCTGAGCATTAATTACAGAACTTGATTTTAGCTTGTTTTGCGGGCAATTTTAATATGCTTCTTAGTTTCCTCCAGGTCCATTTAAGAATGCTTGTTAAACTTTTAGCATTCCCATGTTGGGATAGGAAACAGGAATTCAGTAATGCAGCATTACTGTTTACAGGCAGGCCTTGGGAAACAGGTACAAAAGGAGGTAGGAAATATCCCCTGAAAAACTTTGTGTAGTGGAGGGGTTACAAGGAAAGTGTCTTACTATTTTTATGCTAGTTCTCACCAATAGCATAATGAAGTGGTTTGAATGCTGACTGCCTCTCACTATGTTTATGACTCCAAAATGGAGTAAAGTCATTTAATTTCTCTTGGCTCCAGTTTCCTCATCTGTAAAATAAGGGGTTGAATGAGATGTCACATAAGGTGCCTGCAAGCCAGACCATCACCAGTCTTCTTAACCTTTGTCCCACCTTTGGAATTTGATTGACTCTGGAAAAAAAAACGAGGCTGAAGCCTTTGTGCAACTCTGCCTCACTTAAATCTAATTCACATGCAAGTTGAGATGTCATCATTTGTCCTTTTCTAAAATGAAGGGTCAACAACAACTATAACCTCATGACTATATTATCTCTAAGGTCCCTATAAATTCTGAATCTGATGAATTATGAACTTACTACTTACGTGACTGACCAAGTTGCTCATTTCTTTGAACCTCGATTGACTGAATCATTTATAGAAAGGAACTGCCCACTTCATGGACAGGTTATAAGGAAAGTGCTTTGTAAACTATAAAGCACTAGAGAGAAGTGAACTATTGTAATCATTCACTGAAAAGGGGAGTTTTTCTAATCTCGCATCATTGCCATTATCAGCAACAAAAATGATGTGTTACCTTTCAGTTACACATATGCCAATACACCCAAGAACTCCTGGTTCCTGCCCTCTATAAGTTTTAAATCTAATCAATGTCACATAGGACCTTAATTTGTTGCATCCCTGGTATCTGAAGGTGCTGCCTCTCATGTGCCAGCCAGCTTCTCTATCTGCCTGATTACTGATTTAAGACGTTCTCCTAAGGTGTTTCCCAGTGATGATCTCGGCTCTTTTGAGGGAAAGGGTAAGCTTTTACCATCCTTGGAAATGAGGTAAGATTCTCTTGCCAAGTGAACTACTTGTCCCCCAGTGTGGGGAGAGAGGTCATTAGGACAATATTGACTGGCTCAGTGTTCCCTCAATCAAGAGAAGCTAGGAAAAGTGCATAGTCAGGCCCTGTTGGCAGCATTCTCACTCTCATTGTCAGTGCTACTGGCATCTGCTGGGCCTGGAACAAACTGGAAAGGGACATAAGACCAGAGACTAGATTCAATCTACACAAAAATACAAGATTTTTGGGCTCTAGCCTGCTCACCCTGTCTCATGTCTGAACCATAGTGAAGGAATCCATGAGTGACCCAATATTAACGATGGCCCTGAATTAATTGAATCAGGAGGGTGAAGCATGGCAGGCAATTGCTTTTAATGGTAATTCTAAGTGCAGTGTTCACTGCTAGGGAGCTTAGCCTGTTTGAGTCCTTTGAGGTAGTGGCACACAGCTTTCCAATGAAGCGCTGGCTCCCAGCCCCCTTCTGAACTTAGCTGCCTATAAAGCCTAGCTATAAAGATAAAATGACCTGTTACCCTTGGCTTTAAATCCACAGGGAAGGTATAAAAGCTTCTTGATGCATCAGCACAAAAGAAAAGTTATAAAATGAGAAAAGTTGCTGGGGAGTTTCAACTCTAGGTGGCTGAGAAATTCTGGGGAACGTGACTGTAGAATTTCTGTGTTCCCCAGACTTCACTGCATACATTGTCAAAGGAACTACAGTGCAATGGGGGGAAAACCCCACTGATTTAATGAAAGAGGATGTGTATTCAAATCCTGTCACTTAATTTCTTGTGTGAGCTTATTAAAGTTACTTAATTCAATCCAATAAATATTTATTAAGCATCTACTATGTGCCAGGCACATAGTAGGCACTGTGTAGTGCCCCAGTAGGCACTGAGAATACAATTAATAAAAAGAAAGATAGTGTCTGCTCTCAAGGATCTTACAGTCTAAAGGGAGAGCCAACACACAAAAAGAGGTAGGAAAGGGAAGGAGAGGGAAAGGATGGACACCAGGGAGTATCTTGTTTTTGGAGCTGAAAGCAGACCAAGCAGCAGATACAAAGTGCTGAGAGAGTCCAGTTTCTGCCCTCTAGAAAGGAACACATTGGGAGAGTTTGGTACTCTGTCCTCCAGACTTCCAATCAAAGCAGAGAGGAGGCTGAGGAAGGTGATGTCAATCAAGGCTTGAGTTAGCAACATGGTGGTGAGTTTAGAAGTGATGAGCTTATCCTAGGAGAGGTATTTTGTTCCAGGCAGGGCAACAGAGGCAAAGGGAGTGGACTTATTCTCTCTGGGCCCCAGTTTCATAATCTATAAAATGGGAAAGGGCCTTTTAAAGACCTTTTTAGCACTCAGTCTATGATCCTATGACTTGTGGTCTTCCCTCTCCCTGACACAGCCAATCAGGATATATGTGGGATAGAGGAGAACTAATCAGGGGACTTTAGCAATTTGGTATAGTGGAAAAAAATACAAGATTTGGTATCAGAATACCTGCATTCAAATCCCAGCTTTACTACTTACCATTTGTCACTCAAAAAACATTTATTAAACACCTACTATATGCCAGGCATTTTGCTAAACACTGAGAATACAAATAAATACAAAGACAGTCTCTACCCTCAAGGAACTTTCAATCTAATGGAGGAAGATAACACACAAAAGGAAGCTAAAAAAATGGGTGGGGGGAGAATTACCTGGTGCTAAGGCATATGTAGAAATCCAAAGAAGTCCACTGTAACTGGTGGTAAATGAGGAGGAGACTGTGCTGGGCTCCTTCCTTAAACAGAGGCCCTGCCCTTCAATCAGAGGTTCCAATCAGAAGGGCAGAGGATACTAATGAAGTGTGAGTAATGAGGCAGATTCATTGCAAGATAATGAAATTTCCCAATGATGGATTTCCTGGGGAAGGAAGAGCTGTCCTAGAGAGGTCCAAAGGAGACTCAGAACAGTATAGGTTGCAGTAAATGTGTAAGTTAAAACCTCTCTGGCCTCAATTTCTTCACCTGTAAAATGAGGGGGTGGGACTAAATGGCTCCTAAAGTGCCTTCTCATCCTACGTCTGGGCTTGGGACCCCAGAATTTAGATTTCTAAGCAGAGCGACACTTTGCCCTGTGCTGTCCACTAGGGAATGGTGCAAGTACCTTTCGCTTATTTGAGCGTATGGGTCATGCATGTAGCAAGCCTGTTATGGGTTGGTTAAGAGGGTGGCATTAATGAGGCCATAGTGAAATTCCATTTCTGTATGGGCCACCCAGCTTTGTATGTTTCATGGGCATGCAGTACCCCCAAACCTAATGTGTCATCACTATAGCGAATATCGCTATTGACAACAAGGAGCAAAGTGTGGAAAGAGTTCAGAGATCAGCTCACCCACAACCCAAAGTGCACTGCTTGAGACTATCATCTCTCCCTCTTCTACCCCTTTCTCTCTTTTTCCCTACCTCCTCTCTCTTTTGTGTCTCTTTTCCTCTCTCATAACATCAGCAGCAGCAGCAGCAGCAACATCAACCACCATTTCTCCTCAGACCCTGAAAGGCACACCCCAGAACCCTGAACCCAAGAGCTTGTGAATCACAGTCTGTTCCCCTCCCCCCAAAACTGGTTCTCTTTGCTTCCAGGCTCCCACAGCCATCATCTGGGGAAGCAACCTCTATGAAGAAAGGGCCAACCATCCCCCCAACTGCTTAGTAACTTTCACCTACAGGGTCAGCAAGTCAGACCAGCTGAAGTAGCAAGGCATTCTGAGGGAAAGACGGGAAGGCAGCATTTGCAAGGTAAGTCAGATTGCCACCACCTCATCTCAGACCCTGAAGGAGATAACCCCGAAGCCTTGTGAATACTCCTGCCCCTCAAATTACTAGTCCTGCTTCCAGTTCAACAAAGGGAGAAATCACTGCGAGAAGGGATCTACGTTCCTCACTACTAGTAATACCAACTGCTGACAAATAAGTTAAACAGGTGGGGGTGGGGTGGGGGGAGGAAGTGGGGGAGCCGCACTCCATCAGCAGTCTGTGTTTCAGGCCAGTCTTTGCAGCCCTCATCCTGGGAAGGTGCAGTTTGGCAATTGCTTCTGTGGGTGTTGCAGCCACAGCTATTGAAGACCTAAAAAGGAAAGTCCTCTAAACCATCCAAGTCCTTGGCACTGTTAAATGGCTCAACATCAGAAACTGATAGGATTTTATCAAAGGAAATGACATTAAAGGGGATGTATTATCCTCTTTGTTGTTTCTGCAGCTTAAGGATCATGGTATTTTTTCATCCATCTTGCTGCTGAAACCTTCTATATGTGTTGTCTCCCTCATTAGAAGATGAGCTCCTTGAGAGAAAGGGACTGTCTTACTTTTCTTTTTGTATTCTCAGCACTTAGCACATATTTAGAACATAGTGACTTACATTTTTTTTCATCCATTTATTCATATATAGGAGACAGAACTGCTTTATGCTACCTTACTAGCTTCTTGAGGTCAGGGGTCACTTTCAATTTTTCTTTGTATCTCTCATCTCACCTATCATAGTTCTGGGAATATAGAAGGTGCTCAATAAATGTTTTCTAAAAGTAGAATCAGTGTCTAGTTCTAGGGTTCAGAATGTGGGCGATGGGAATATAGATTCTCTACATAGCACTGACAATGAGGCCTTAAAACAGATAGCATCATTCAAGGAGGACAGTGCTATGCAATGGGAACAGCCCTCCAATGAAAGTCAAGAGAACTGGGTTCTAGTTCTGGTTTTGCCACTAGCTTTGTCTCTGACCTTGGGCAAGTCAGTTTATCTCTGGATGTGTCAGTTTCCTCCTTTGGAAAATGAGGACAGTTGGAGTTGATTTTATCAATGACTTCTAATTTATCAATGACTATCCTATAACCCTCTATCCTATACTCAAAGAATGGCTTCAGAAACTCAGAGGCCCCTATGGCAGGGCTTATTTTGTGGGAGGATGGGTACATTTATATATAACTCTCCTTGATTTTATTTAATTCAATTCACAAATTCAACAAGTATTTATTAACCAATTACTGTAGACAAAGCACTGTTCTAGATTTGGGGATACAAAGAAAAAAAATGAAACAGTTCCTACCCTCAAGGAGCTTACCTTCTACTACAAGGAATAACCCATACACAAATTAGTATACAACGAGGAGAAAACTTCAACACCTTATAGATTTCAGGGCTGGTTAAAGAGGTGGCCCCTGAGATATGCCTTGAAGAAAGACAAGGATTCTATGAGTTCAAGATGAGGCAGTAGTACATTCAAACCACAGAAAGAGACTTGTGGGAATGCAAGGAGGTAGGAGATAGAATATAGAGTTCAGGGAATGGCTGGTTATTCAGCTTGATTGGAATGTAGAGTTCATGAAATAAGGCTTAAAAAGCAGATTAGAACCAGATTGTGGAAGTCCTTACACAAGCCAGGCTAAGGAGTTTGTTTTCTTAACCCATAAGCAATGGGGATGCATCTAAAGTTTTAGAGTAGTGGAAAAGGCCACAAATAGAATTATGCCTTTGGAATGTTATTTTGGTAGCCACATGGAAAAGGGATTCAAGAGGAACTAGAACCAGTAAAACAGATCACGTAAAACGTTGTAATAGTCTAGAGAAAAGATAATGAGGGCCTGAACCAGGGCAGTGGCTATTTGAATGAAGAAAACTAGAAGGATATAGATTAAGATATTATGGTTATCAATGCCTTGCAGCCAATGAGACAGATTTACATAAAAGAATGTTAGAGCTGTATGAGTTATCAAGCATGCAACAACAGGGCCCGATCTACCTATTGATTAAGGAGATAACATCTTTATACATCGCACAAACACAATTCTAGATAGCCTTGATGAAGAAACTGGCAAACTGGGATGGGACACAAAGAATCATAAATAAAATTCTAGAATAATCAGTCAGTTCCCAATTTTTTTTCATCTCAATCCTGATTTCCAGTCTTATGTCACCTTAATATGCCCCTTTTCCCACTCTACCAAAATAGCTGCTCCTAAGAGTCAATATGTTATCTCTACCTTCTCCATTCACACAAGCTATCAATTTCTGAAATTCACCTACTCCTTATCTTCACCTTTTAGAAGCTTTATCTTCCTTTAGGGCTCAGGTCAGCTATTACTTCCTTCCCTGATTCCCCCAGTTATTAATGCTTTCATCTCTCCCTGCCTCCACTCTTTCCCAGAGTATTTTGTCTGATGTCTCCCTGTTACCTCCAGGATTAAATATACAATCTTCTGCTTGGCATTCAAAGCCCTTCACAACTTAGTCCTCTTCTACCTTTCCATTCTTCTTATACTTTACTCCCCTTTTACGATTTTACAAACAGTGACACTAACCTCCTTGCTATTCCTTGATTGTGACACTCCATCTCCTAAATCCAATCATTTTCATCGTCTGTCCTCCATGAATTGAACTCCTTTTATCCTCATCTCTGCCTGTTGGATTCCCTGGCTTCCTTCAAATATTAGCTAAAATCTCACCTTCTGCGAGAAGCTTTTCACAGTCCTCCTTAATGTTAGTGCCTTCCTCTGCTGAATATCTCCAACTGATCATATACATATCTATCTTGTTTGCCCATAGTTTTTTTTAATGTTGTTTTTCCTATTAAACTGTGAACTTCTTGAGAGCCTTTTGAATTCCTTTTGCCTTTCTTTGTAACCTCAGTGCTTAGCACAGCGCCTGCACATAGTAGGTGCTTAATAAATGCTTATTGAATTGACTTTCCCTTATCCCCTTCATTCTCTAATTTGTATTATTCTTATTTGTGTATGTGTTGTAATTCTCCAACAGAATGTAAACTCCTCGAGGGCAAGGGGGATTTTGTTTTTATCTTTGTATTTCCATTGCTTAGCACAATACCTTGCTCATGTTATGTATTCAACAAATGTTGGCTGAACTGAAGTGAATCAGAAAGATCTAGACTGTAAAGCAGGGGTGGGGAACCTGCTGCCTTGAAGTCACATGTGACCCTCTAGATCCTCAAGTGACTGAATCCAAACTTCACAGAATAAATCCCCTTCATGAAAGGATTTGTTCTATAAAACTTGGACTCATTCAAAAGGCCACACCCAAGGACCTAGAAGGCCACATGTGGCCTCGAGGCAGCAGGTTCCCCACCCCTGCAAGATACATAGATCCAGAAGACTTTTTTCTCAAGAAGCTTACCAATGAACATGGAAAATAAGCCTTGGGCCCAGAGAAATACGATACAAAACTTAATATAAGTCCCTAAGAAGACTAAAAAGTGTTATAAGATCACAAGATGGAGAGAGAATTTCTGAGAGAGAAAGGAATCAAGAAAGTTTACTGAAAGAGACATTCAATTAGAGCCTTGAATGATGTGTAGGTAACATGAAGTGGAAGAGATGGAGAGGGAGATCATTTCAGGAACAGGAAATATTAGTTGAAATCTTAACTAGAACTAAAATTTATGTATTTTTGGGGGGTGGGGCTAGGCAATGGGGTTAAGTGACTTGTCCAGGGTCACACAGCTAGTAAGTATCATGTGTCTGAGGCCGGATTTTAATTCAGGTCCTCCTGAATCCAGTGCCAGTACTCTCTCTCTATCCACTGCACCACCTAGCTGCACCTAGAACTAAAGTTTAAAAACTCAAAAACCAGAGTAATAAATTTTAACTATCTGAATTTTGTGCATGGTGATGAGTAGTAGGGCATGTATTTTGGGGCAGAAAGACCTTCCCTGAGCTTCTTGTGCAAATGAAAGCAAGCTGCCTGCTCTGAATACTCAAAGAACTGGTGGGCCCCACTCAAAGACAGTAGTTTTCTCTCAATTGCTACTGTGGCTCAGGATTTGCTTATCCAGCCTCAAGGCAAGAAAATCTCATAAAGCCATTGCCAACAGCTTGTTCAAAAAGAAATGCAAAAACATAAACTCCCAGGAATTAGACTAACCTCTTGAGAGAACCTATTCTTATTCTCCAAGGGATCTAATCAACAGAGAAGGAGAATATTACAGAGGAAAAATCACCCCAAATCACAAAACTTGAAATAACAAGACTCAGGATCCAATTTTGGCTTTGCTACTTATTAGCTCTATAACTGTAGGCACGTCACTGCATTTTTCTCAACATTCACCTGTAGAATCATCATAGGATCTACAATGGTAGAGATGAAGGAGGCTATTTTACCCAATTCCCTCATTTTACAGATGAAGACAGTAAGGACAAAAGAAGGGAAGTTATTTGTCTAAAGTCACATAGGTTATAAGTAAAGAGTTGGGCCAGGATTCAACCTTAGTCATCTGATCCCAAATCTGGTGTTTTTACCAACACACCAGAGTTTGCCTAATTTATAAAATGAGTGGCTGATTCATTATCTTCCAGAGAGGTGATGAGCTTAAGATGAAAAAGACATTTATTTTTTGGTATAGACAAAGTGGGAATTTACCTTATTGGATCATACATGCTTAAAATATGGGCTTTCTGGTCTTTTTGTTGTTAAATCAGGGGGGAGGTTAGTAGGAAGGGCAAATTTTAAATGCATGGAAATATATTACAAAAACAAAATGAAATTTATACTAGAGAGGGCAGCTAGGTGGCACAGTGGATAGAACTCTGGGCCTGGAGTCAGGAAGACCTGAGTTCAAATCCAGTCGCAGATACTTACTAGCTGTGTGAACCTGGGCAAGACGTTTATCCCAGTTTGCCTCAGTTTTTTCCTCTATAAAATGGGCTGGAGAAGGACATGGCAAATCACTCCAGTATGCTTGCCAAGAAAACCCCCAATAGGGTCATGAAGAATTGGAGATGACT